TGGACACTCTCCAGTAGCTCCTCATCTTTCTTGAAGTGGGGAGCCCAGAACTGGACACAGTGCTCCAGATGGGGCCTCACCAGGGCAGTGTAGAGGGGAAGGAGAACCTCCCTCGACCTGCTGGCCACACTCTTCTTGATGCACCCCAGGATCCCATTGGCCTTTTTGGCAGTTTCTACACCAGTTGTTTTAGCAAAAAGCTGCTAAACTTTACACTGAATGCAAACTCCAGGGAGTTTTGGGGTGACGGTTAGGCTTGCTGATCTTAAAGGTCTTTTTGAACCTAAATGATTCAGTGACTCTGTAATTCTTCCCCTTATCCCTTGCTGCCACCTCCCAAAAGTGAGGAGAGTCTGCTGGCCCCTCCTAGGCAACAGCTCACGCCACCAAAGCCAGGTTTGGGAGAACAAGAACACACCAACGGTTCTTTGAAAGCTGATGAAACGGGACCAGGGTTGGGTTTAAACCCTGCCCAGGTTTTAAGCTGCTGCCTGAGATGTCCCCAGCCACAAAGCCACGCCTGCAAAGGGCAAGGAGACAACTGTCCCCTCCACGAGCCGGCTGGGAAGAGCAGCGCCGGTTGCCCCGGGCTTGCAGGCGAAGCCAAGCCTGCCTGTGAGGCTCCAGGCAGCTGCTTCCTATGTCAGTTTACCTCGACACAGGAAAACCAGCCCAGCACCACCGCAGCCTCCCCTTCCCAGCACAGCTTCCAGCTGCTGGAGGACCGGGAGGGGACGGCCAGCCCTGCCGCTCGTCCTGGCCAGCAAGCATCCGGACGCCCGGCCGGAGCATCCGGAGAGCTATTGTCTTTCTGAAACCACCGCTGGGATCCACAGATGGATCGCCTGGTCCCTGCTCCCCCTCTGTATTGCTGTTATCCCGCTGCCCAAGCGGGAAGGCACACGGAGAGGTGAAGACTCCCTTGTAAAAGTGACTGGTGATGTGCACTTGGTGCCTCGACAAACCCACGTGGTACAAATTCGAGCACCTGGACTGAGACAAGCTGCTCCATTGCTCCCCACGTTGCCCAGGGCCTTTTCTCCCTGGGGCTACCAGCACTGCCACCGCTGGGATAGGAAAAGATTTCCAGGATTTGGAGAAACATCCTAACGATACTGGTGTGAAGGACACAGGACCCATGACGCCGTTGCTGCGAGCAGGCGTTACAGCAGCAGCACACAGCCATACACACACACTTCTCTCTCGTTTCCCCCTCTGAATTTCTTGGCCCTGTGTGGGACATTGGCATCAAGCACCAGTAAAACCCAACAGAATCACAGAATGGTAAGGGTTGGAAGGGACCTCTGTGGGTCATCTAGTCCAACCCCTAACAGCTACGGCTCAGAGAGTTAATAATACTTCATTAAAACTTCCCAACAATGACATTTTTGTCTTGGCTTTGGAATATTATCAATGAATGGAAAGTACATAAACAACCTATTTTCTCTCCTTGCAAAATATAACATTGCAAACTTAATTCCTTGCCTCCAGCGCTGCTTTACTTTTTAGATCAGTCGAAAAAAACCCCAAACAAACCCCAAATCAAAGCCAAGAAAGCAGTAAGCTGTTAAAAATCTCGGTTTCAGGAGTTACAGACACAGGAACGACCATCACCCCCACCCCCTCTGTTTTCACGCGAGGCAGCCACCCGCCCCGGTGCCCCCCACCCTGCCTACTCTAAAACACTGACATGTGTCACTTCGACTTACAGGGCTGG